AAAAACATATTGAGTCTCCAGTATTATTGTCTCACAATTGTACTCATTCTCATCCTCCACCTTTTATATTTCTATCCAGTGTTTTTATTTTACCTTTACTGTACTTCGTCGTCACCTGGTTTATCTAACAGAATTCAAGATGATATTATTGCCGCCTTAACTTGTTTTCTGAACCCCATTCTCACATTTTTGGTAAAAGTGCCTAGTCTTTTTCTTGACGTTTGGCATGTATATCAATTCCATTTTGTACTGTCATCAGAGTTACAAAGTGTCAGTCTATGCAGCTGCCGGGGATTTACAAGCTCCCTGCTTAAGATTTTCACATTTGGGTATTTCATTGTATTTCCGTGTTCATAAAGCTTGCCTGCAGAAAGGTTAAACCCACTGTGATCCTTTGGAAAAACAGCGCGCTGTATGACTTTTGGGGTTTGCGCTTAGTTTTTTATTGTTATTAATAATTTAAAAAAAAAAAAAGTTGGGCCGGACCCCAAATTCCTATACGAACTGAAAGGCAATAAGGCAACAGAAGAATGACTGTCGTACTCTGAGCCCACAGCTGTGTATCTCTACGTCATTTTGGGACAGAACTCACGAAATGCTGTTCCATATTTATCTTCTCTTGGGGTAAAACGTGCATTTTCAATAAAAATTTCCAAAAAATAAGTTTGTAAAGGGGGTTTTTATTGGGCTTGGAAAATCTTTGACAGCATGGCACAGCACTCTTTTTCCCCGGTCCATTTTTTTGACCCTTCAAGGAAAATTCCATTTTTTTCCAAGGCCTTCATAACAAATTGACACTTTAGTGTCTGGATCAATAATTGCTTTGCACCAGATTTGTTCAAGCAGAAGGCATTCCACAAGGGTGTATTTTTAGCACAACCTCCTTCCTGTCAGCTATTAATGGTCTGGTCTCAGTACTACCTCAGAGAATTTGGTCCTCTTTGTATGTGGATGATTTTGACATGGCTGATATAGTCAGCAAGTATCCACCTTACAGAGTGCAACTGACTGCATGTCCAGCTGGGCTACATCGCACTACACCCATTATGTATCTCTGTTATCTTTTTGACTACCACCCACAGGATGGGCATGGAGTGTACAATAAAAAATATTAAACTGACTACATTACACAGCTTCAAGTTCTCATTCCTCGCTTTATATTCTCCCTGTAAGGTTTCCCTGTACCAGTCTCCCACCTTGATGTTCATCAAGGACTACGGCTGTATCGGTGCCTTTCATCTGTTCGCATTGGAAAACCTATATGTAAAATTTAATATTAAGAACATAAGAATGAACAATAAAGGTCTATTGGCCCATACACGACAGGTCCTTCCCAAAACCAACTACTTCCACCCTCCCATCTGTCCAGTCTTTTCCCAAAGCCACCCGTGAACTGCTTCAATACCTCAGGCACTAATCGAATCCATGCCTCTCACTCACATATGTTTAGTCTCTTTTCAAAATTACCAAAAACGTGACCCTCCCCGGCGGGGAATCGAACCCCGGTCTCCCGCGTGACAGGCAGGGATACTCACCACTATACTACCGAGGAATGTGAACATCTATAAGGTTATTGCGGTGCTCACTGTCTGTGCTGCCTTATTCCCTTGCATGAATTTCATGGCCCCGCGGCTTAATGAATAATCAGAGATTGCTTCCCTTCCCTTCGCGCTTCAGTGTGACTAGCTAATGGTCCAATTTGGACTAAAACGTCGTCATAAGTTTCATACTCTTTCCCTCCAATCTGATATCCAATCTTTCATCACCTAATCTTTTTGTTATCCTCATAACCTTACTCTTTCCTGTATTCACTTTTAATTTTCTTCTTTTGCACACCCTACCAAATTCATCCACCAATCTCTGCAACTTCTCTTCAGAATCTCCAAGAGCACAAAGTCATCAGCAAAGAGCAACTGTGACAACTCCCACTTTATGTGCGATTCTTTATCTTTTAACTCTACGCCTCTTGCCAAGACCCTCGCATTTACTTCTCTTACAACCCCATCTATAAATATATTAAACAACCACGGTGAATTTTTATTGACGTAAGAAAATCGTTTGACACAGTAGACCACGGCATCCTACTCCACAAACTTGACCACTATGGTATAAGAGGCCATGCGCTTGCATATTTTAAATCCTACCTTTCTAATAGGTATCGGTATGTCACCATTAAAGACACAGCCTCATCAATACGGCCATTTGATACTGGAGTTCCGCAGGGAAGTGTCCTTGGACCCCTGCTCTTCCTCATTTATATCAATGATCTTCCAAACATATCCCAACACCTGAAACCCATTCTCTTTACTGATGACAAGACTTATGTCATCTCCCACCCTAATTTTGCCACCCTCAACACCATTGTTAACGAGGAGCTGCTCAAAATATCGACTTGGATGACAGCCAATAAACTTACACTTAACACGCAAAACCTACTATATTATGTTTGGTAGCAGAGCAGGTGCTGCGCAACTTAACATTAAGATCGACAACACTCTAATTGCCAGACATAATGAGGGCAAATTCCTTGGCCTATACCTCGACAACAACCTAAATTTCAGCACCCATATCCAACACATAACAAATAAAGTATCCAAAACGGTGGGGATCCTCTCCAAGATACGATACTACGTGCCGCAAACTGCCCTTCTCACACTATACCATTCACTTATATATCCATACCTCGCCTATGCTGTCTGTGCTTGGGGTTCAACTGCAGCAACACACCTAAAGCCAATAACAACCCAACAAAAAGCCGCAGTAAGAATAATCAGTAAATCCCATCCCTGGCAACACCCCCCCCCCACTCTTCATAGATCTAAACTTACTCCCTGTTCAGAACATCCACAGTTACTACTGTGCAATCTATATCTACAGGACCTTAAATTCCAATATTAACCTTGACCTAAAACGCTTTCTTGATAGTTGTGACAGGATCCACAGGCATAACACCAGACACAAACATCTCTATGACATTCCCTGTGTTCGACTAAACCTTTACAAAAATTTAATGTATTTCAAAGGACCTAAAATCTGGAACACCCTACCTGAAATCTCTAGAACTGCAGACACATTCATCACTTTCAAAACTACAGTTAGAAAACATCTTATCTCCCTGATCCACCCCGACAACTAACTACATGATAACCACCTGGTGGTTCACAATTACACTTACTCACCCACTGACTATAAACCCAGAAATACTAATCTTAATCTTGAAATAAATCCTAACTAGTCATAAGTTTGCCTATGATATTCCAATACAGACACCTTGTATTGTGCCAAAACAAAAGCACTCACATTGCTAAACTCACAAATTATGATGTAGTCACTTAGCCTTAATACCATAATCTGTAAGGATTTAATGTTAAGAATTAATCTAAGTCTGCTCGAAATGCCAAGCCATGCTAGGTGTCCTAGTGGCCCCCTCTGTAATTAGTATTTTATAACATGTAAACCACACAATACCCAAAACCTGTAAACCCCACATTGTAACCCTTATAGAGAATAAACTTGAATTGAATTGAATTGAATTCTCCTATGTGCGGGTTACTTGTACATTGTTCGAGTCATGGCATTGTGCCTTTTTATTCTTTTCAACTTTGCCTTTAAAGTCAAGTTGCTTCCCTCAGTCTGCCTTCTTACTTCGTGTTAACCCTCTTCATTTCAGATTACCACCGGAGGTTCCGATGACCCCACCATGTCCCTTCTTTCATCCCTTTCCCAAAATTTTGTATCTTCATCTGAACACAGGTCATGTGGTCACATCATCTTCATTCCTTCAAGAGGATTGCCTTGATGTCATTGAAGGGCTCTTGATCCAAGGGATTAAGTTGGATCTAGATTGCTGGATTGATCAAGACCATCAGACTGGACAAGACTCCCCTCCCCCTCCGTCAACAGAACTCTCCCAGCAGTAACAGCCTGGCTGATCAAGCCCTGATCCACCGCGAGGCCTGGTTACAGACCGGGCCGCGGGGGCGTTGACCCCCGAAGCCCTCTCCAGGTATACTCCCTTCCACCTCAGTCAACAGTAACCCTCCCTTCCCTCCGTCAACAGAACACCCCTATCCATCAACAGAATACACCCCTCCATCAACAGTATATGCCCCTCCATCAACAGCATATGCCCCTCCATCAACAGCATATGTCCCTCCATCAACAGTATATGCCCCTCCATCAACAGCATATGCCCCTCCATCAACAGCATATGTCCCTCCATCAACAGTATATGCCCCTCCATCAACAGCATATGCCCCTCCATCCTATGTTTTCCTCAAATTTCACCCCAAGGAAGGTTTAATCACCCTCAGACTGGGTACTTTACGCTAAAGTGGCTTCCTTAGATCAAACATGAAGGTTTCCTAATGTCTAGATGCGGTGCGAGTCAAGTGCAATGGGAGACATGATTAAGATAAATGAACATTTTTAATTAGAAGCACCGGGGCATGAAGAAATAAACCGAATGTGCCAAGCGGACATAAATTAACAACATACACTGCTCACATCTATGTTATTATACCCACGCGAGGGCAGAGTGGGTCAAGGTATCATGTTCTTCTATCTCTGCCTGGGCTGTGACGTGAGCATTGCTGGTCTGAGTCCTGGACATGTCGACCACGAGATTAAATTACAGCCTGGTTGATCAGGCCCTGATCCACCACGAGGCCTGGTCACCAACGGCCCGCGGGGGCGTTGACCCCCCAAACCCTCTCCAGGTAGGACTCCAATGGAAATAAGTCACTTTGCCTGACTTTTTTTTTTGTGGGTGAGGGGAAGGTATCCTAGGCAACCTATATCGTATGACAATTGTGCTTATCTGTACTTACACATCCTTCCATATGTTGATCTGATATTTACCTACAATTCAAGGATATACGTATTCTTGCTTCTGTGGGGAAAGAAAATGTTCCTGAAGTTATGTGATTGTTTTTGCCATGCTTAGCAATGTTTGACAAATAAAATGACGCCTATAATACCAAATTCTTCTTGTTTTCTAGAAAATGAGCTGCCTGTCCTCCTTACTGGTGAGTGTTGGATAAGGACTGAGAGACGAGGAGCTACCAGCAGCGAACTGGAAGAACATCAACTACTGAACGTAATACAAATAAATCCGGAAGTTGATAGTCAATAGACCTACGAGAAAGCCAGACGACTTAAATGAAAATCAAATTTATTCACCACCACCAGATGTAGACCAAACGAAATGTAAACTTTGCCAGATGGATTATTGTCACACCCTGCGTCATTATGTACTGGAGTGCGATAAAATTAATGAATTTAGAAACAACTCACTCAGAAGTGTTCAAGAAATGGCTAAGTATTTTATCCACAGTGGTATATTACAGACCATTCTGGAGAAATACCCTGACTTTGCTAGCCGTAAATAAAGCATTACCACATATGTGCATGTGTGTGTGTGTGTGTGTGTGTGTGTGTGTGTGTGTGTGTGTGTGGTGTGTGTGTGTGTGTGTGTTTTGTGTGTGTGTTGTGTGTATGTGTATGAGTGTGTGAGTGTGTGTGTGTTGTGTACTCACCTAGTTGAGGTTGCGGGGGTCGAGTCCGAGCTCCTGGCCCCGCCTCTTCACTGATCGCTACTAGGTCACTCTCCCTGAGCCGTGAGCTTTATCATACCTCTGCTTAAAGCTATGTATGGATCCTGCCTCCACTACATCGCTTCCCAAACTATTCCACTTACTGACTACTCTGTGGCTGAAGAATACTTCCTAACATCCCTGTGATTCATCTGTGTCTTCAGCTTCCAACTGTGTCCCCTTGTTACTGTGTCCAATCTCTGGAACATCCTGTCTTTGTCCACCTTGTCAATTCCTCTCAGTATTTTGTAAATCGTTATCATGTCCCCCCTATCTCTCCTGTCCTCCAGTGTCGTCAGGTTGATTTCCCTTAACCTCTCCTCGTAGGACATAACTCTTAGCTCTGGGACTGTCTTGTTGCAAACCTTTGCACTTTTTCTAGTTTCTTCACGTGCTTGGCTAGGTGTGGGTGTGTGTGTGGGGTGTGTGTGTGTGTGTGTGTGTGTGTGGGGTGTGTGTGTGTGTGTGTGTGTGTGGTGTGTGTGTGTGTGTGTGTGGTGTGTGTGAGTATGAGTGTGTGTGTGTTTATGAGTGTGTGTGTGTGTGTTTTTGAGTGTGTGTGCGTGTGTGTTATGGTTTGTTGTGTGTGTGTGTGTGGTGTTGTGTGTGTGTGTGTGTGGTTTTGTGTGTGTGTGGTGTGTGTGTGTGTGTGTGTGTGTGTGTGGTGTTGTTTTGTGTGTTGTGTTTGAATTTGTATGTGGTGTGTGTGTGGAGAGAGAGTCAGCAATCAACTTTGGCCCAATACTCACTCGTTGTGACCGGGTGTGGAAATGTGAATTGCTCTTACTTAAAAATTTTTTCATGATTGCCCCATGTTAAAAACAAAAGAAACCCATTCTTACAGATTCATTATTTTTTGTAACTTGTGAGTCTTTCCTTGTCCTAGTTACCCATCAAAATTTGGAGCCCGGTCCGGGCCCCATTGGTACCTCTGTAACTTTTAAATCCCTTTGTAACTTGTCATGATTGTGATAGACCTCCCTGGATTTCATTCCCTTTGTAAATTGTGATTTTCATTCCTTTGAAAATTGGGAAATTCATTACCTTTAAACTTGCTCAGCTATCAAACTTTGGGGGCCCCAGTCCCTGGCCAATTATTTCCTCTGAAATCTTTTGACTACCCCCCACAGGAGGGTAGGGGGTCATAATAAACTATTAAACAAATTCCCAAACTTTTTAATTATGGAAAAAAAAGAAGATACTATTGGGAACAATCTTTAGGTCTTGGGTAGAGTTTATGCAGTATTGATATTATTATAAGCTTTTAAAAGATCTTTTTTCGAATAAAAAATTTCATATTCGTAAATCTTTTTGGATAATATATAATTTGTGTGTAAATCGCAAAAATTTGTTTATAAACTTGTGTCTATTGGGGAAAAATTGCTTTTTTTTAAATGTAACTAATTATGTACAAAATAAATGATAAAAAAGATAATTATTATTTTCAATGTTCTAGAAAAGTGGGAAATTTGGGGCACCTGGTCGCAAAAAATGTCCCCTTCGATCCCTACCAGGTCAAAACCAAAGTTGCCTGGACCTTTTTAATTAAAATGAATATACTCCCAGGAATCTGGTAAATTATAAATTTGTGTGTGTGTGTGGGGGGGGGTGTGTGTGTGTGTTTTGTGTGTGTGTGTGTGTGTGTGTGTGTGTGTGTGTGTGTGGGTGTGTGTGGGTGTGTGTATCACCTATTTTGATCCCCTTGTCCCCCCCATCCCAAAACATTACCCCAGTCCGTAACATTCTTCTTTGCAAATTACAGGGTCTAAACCCAGCAATAACAACAAAATCCCTTTATCCGTGGACTGTTTGCAGAGGAAAAGGCAATTTTCGCGGCTTTCACTGGCCCCACATAAAGGACCTTGGAAAAAGAAATATGGATCCAGGTTAAAAACCTATACAGATGTGCAGGGAAAGGCAAAAGGGGGGGGGTTGCCGTCTTTGCAGGCCTTTTTGCCCCGAAAACTTAATGCCTCAAAGAGTAGTAAATTTTTAGCAGTAAAGGTGGGAAAACCAAAACTGTCATTGTGGTGTTAAAGCCTGGGATGAAATCCAGAAATTCAGGAACGCTTTTAAAAATTGCCCACTTTTGGAAAATCTTCAGTCTGCACCCAACATCTTGTCCTGGGGATTTCAATTAAAGGCACCTAAAATGGGGGAAATTAGCAAATAATATTGTTGCAGTAATAACACAGGAGGAGCTTGATGAAAACTCACACTCACCGGTTTTTAAAATCTCTGCACAAAATTAAATTTTAAAACCCCGCAAAAAATAGAGCCCTACTAGCTGGAAAATACATAGCCCTCATCTTCACAAAAATGATGATTGTAAGAAAGTCCCCATATCAAAACAATATACTCAGATCACAACTAATTGAGGTCAGACAGTATGCGGGGGCCCCCAGCCAAAAAAATGAGACTGTCACGAGGGGCTTTCCCCAAATTCAACTTCAATAAAAAAAACAAAAAGGGGGGACCAAGTAAACCAATCCTAACCGATTAACGGGGAAGATATATAAGCAACAAGACCCAAATTTGCCAAAAAAGTTTAAAATCGGTGGCACTCTGTATGCACAAGGCTTATTCCCAAGAAAAAGGGGGAGTAGATGAAAAAATAGAAAGAGACAGCGCTCCTTTACGGCGACGGAAAAGAATAAAGGCGGCAAAAAGGGTAAATTTATCAAAAATGCGCGGGAGACATGGTCAGGAAATAGAAAGCATCGAACTTAAGTAAAAAATCCTTTGGGTCAGGAATCGCGGGAAGAACTAAAAGCCATAATGAAATCGAAAGAAACCCAAAAGTTTTTTTTCCCTATGCCAAATCAAATCGAGACAAGTCCAGTTTTGGGGCCCCCCTACTTAAACAAGTGGGTCTCACAGATGAAGAAGGAAATGAGGATACTCAAGCCCCAATATGACTCAGTTTTGCAAGCCGCAACCAGATGAGAGTCGAAGATCAAAATGAATTTTTTATGGAGAGCCACAAATTTTGTTAACACAAGCTATCCGATGTTATCCTGACGCAAATGACTTCAAAACAGGCAAATAAATGACTTTGCCCTGCACTCTGCCCGGGGCCCGATCAGGGAAACTCTGTGTTCATAAAGAACTGCAAGAACCCCCTATCACGAGCCTTTTCCTCCATGGAGGGGGGCAGGCACGGGGTCCCCCCTCGTTCCCCAAAAAACGCTGCCCCACCCCACAAAGGGGGATTTTAAAGCAACGCAAAGAATAAGCCCAATAGCACAACATCCCAATCATAAAAATTTTGAGGGTCCTAAGAAGCAAGATCACCCCCATCTAGAAACCCTCGTTAACAAAACCCCGGGCAACATGGGTTTAGAACAGGGCTCCTGTCTGTCTCAACTATGGATCACTACGACAAGGGCCTAAATGCACTAGAAAAACAAAAAGAAAGCAGATGTATATATACGGGCTTTGCAAAGCCTTCGACAAGTGTGACCTGGCGTAAAAGGCACAAAATGCGGTAAAGGAATAAAAGGAAAAAATTGGTCATGGATCTTTTAATTTCCCCACTAACGAACACGGAGTAGTGTAAAGAGTAAAGTCCGAGGGCTACGGGGAAAAGCTTGTTCCCAGCACAGTACTAGTCCCCTTGTTCTCATCCCCATACCGACATAGACAAGGAGTGCCACACACCGGTTTTTTTTGCAGATGACACCCCAATCGCATAAGTGTCTTCATTGGACACTGCAAAGGGTCCCGGCGGCACAACCAAATCTTTATGGGCTGCAGAAACAATTTTAAGTTCAGAGGAAATTTTAATTACCAGAATGGTCATGAGGAAATTAAATTTTCATCAGAGTAAAAAAAAAAAAATTTGGCCACAAAAAATAGAGCGAAAAAAACCCCACTCAAAAACCTGGGGGTGATTATGTGGGGTCTCACCCTTTAAGGACCCTAAATTGTATCAATCGCATTGCTGAAAAATGAAGGATGGATAAAGGGGAACCTTCAAAATAGGGGCCAAGCCCATGATGACACTCTTCAGGTCACTTGTTTATCTAGGCTGGAATATTTGCTGCACTCTAACGCACTTTAAGGCAGGGTGAATTGCCGACCCGAAAAAAGTAAGAGAACTTTCACGGCGCGCATAACGGAGATTTTAAAAACCTCAATTTCGGAGGGGCTTAGGTTTTTAACCCGTATTCCCCGGAACAGGGGGGGGAGAGATCATGATTATTAACCCGGAAAAAACTAGGGGATGTAAGGACTTGCCCACGAAATCACTCACTACGAAAACAAAAGATTTGGAGGGGATGCACTCCCCCCTGAAAAAAACAGGGGTGTCACTAGCACGTTAAGAGACCTACAAAAAGTGTCAGGGGGGCCGAGATGTTAAAATGTCCCAGCACACATAAGGGGGAAATTTTCCAACAGCCCCTGGGGTTTCAAGCTGGCTGGACAAGCACCTAAAATCAGTTCCCGACGCCGGGCTGTGGTCGTGTTGGTTTGCGTGCAGCCAGCAGCAACAGCCCGGTTGTCAGGCGTGATCCCCCGGGGGCCTGGCCAGACCGGGGGCCCCGGGGGTTGACCCCGAACTCTTCCAGGTAAACTCCCCGGTTGCAGGGGTCGAGTCCCAGTCCTGGCCCGCCTTTCACCGGTTTTCTAAAAGGCCCTTCTCTCCCGCTCCATGAGCTTTCAAACCCCCTTTTTAAAAAATGTTATGGTTCTGCCCCACTTTCGTCATTTTTTGGTATTTTCCCTCCCTTTCAACTTATGATGAAGAAAAATTCCTACATCTCTCTGTCATTTGTGTCTTAACTTCCCAAATTTTGGCCTCTTGTTTCTGTGTCCC